GTGCCGTTGTCTGGAATGGGGGAACCCACTTTATCCGTTCGTTACGCTGAATGAGTTTCAGTTGTAGCAATGAAAGATGGATTTGGGGCTAATTGACAATGCTGATAACTTGGCGAGGTCTACCTCAATGTTTCTAGTAGTTACAGTGAAGGCACCCAGCTTTTAACGTTTGACGGGGATTTCTCGATGAACCTACTTATTATTTCAATGTTCGTGGCGCAGCGTCAATTTTGGACTTTGGTAGGAGTGTCCTACTGGTTTAATCGAACTGCAATTAAAGTCGACTAGGACCAGGATTTGTATACAATAGAGGAATCGTCACACTTCTTCATCGCTAAAAAATTTGCAATGTTCGGGCAACTAGCTTACTGTGTCTACTTTTTTATACCTTAGCATGTGCATGGACAGCAGACATGGTGCAAATTTTCCATATTGTTAATTTCAACTTATTCTGACCAAAACTGTCCGGAAGATAAAAAAGAAACAGTTACATGTTTTGTTGCTGTGCTGTTCCAATTGAAAAGGATCAGCCTTTTCTAATGGGTTCCTGATGTGATCAGGCGAAAACAAGTGATATTTGATGGTTCAGTCAGTGACAGCGCTTTTCATTTCGCTGAGGTGGGCTTCCAAAGGGAGCAGTTTATCTTTTAGTTCTGAACTAAAGTTATTGTCTGCAGAGGAACAGATTCGCTTTGAGTTTGGGTCCTCGCTTTTTATTCGTCTTGCTGACGGCCTAGAAAGTATACTACGTTTAGCTTACGGAATACGGCAAAACTTCCGTCGTGCGACCGCGATCTAAGCTTGTCAGCGTTCAGACGCAGGCGCCAAGTTAAGCTAACGCAATGCAAACCAACCTTGTGTGATTTCTTGCGGTCGGATTTTGATAGGACGGTTAGATTCTACGGTTACGTTTGTCGATGATATCAATTCAAGGAAGTGTCGAGACGCATAGCTGAGGTTAGGTTGTGAAGTTGAATCCTGCATGGCGGTGTCCCGAGGCAGTTGTCTACACACACGAACACAAGGTCAGGCAACTGTTCCCCTGAACTCGGTAGGCGAGCTGAAGCTAAATATGACCCATACCCCCAGCGAGAATAGACGATCCGTCGGGTTCCGATCAATAGCGAATGAGACAAACCGCAGAATTTGTAGCCTTGAAGTGTTGGATTAGCAGCATTAAACTGATGGCTGCAGTGTATGATGCAGCGATAAATATGGTATTGGATGAGCACGAGTTTAAGTTAATCGTATATTTTAGGAAAATGTTTTTGTGTGAGAGTGTAGTAAGCTAAACATCCTCTGTTTGTCTGTGTAAAATAATAAAATATACTAGCATTTTGTACCTAGACAACTTAGGAAGGTTGCCTGTTCGAATGATGACTAGGTGTGTTTGAGTCATCCAGACGGATCGCATTTCGGGTGCTTCCGGCTTTCCCACCTCCGAAGAGCGTTTGTTGCTTCTCGGCTGGCAAATATACGTTTCCCACTAGCTAGAACCTGTTTACGGTGCTTTCAGCAAGAGGGATTGCACGTTGCGACAATAAACGTCTACCTCGCTCATATATTAGTCTTTTTCCTACTTTTCCTTGTGGCGGGACGAACTTGGCTTTACAGCTACCAAACGACTAGGGTGTAAGAATAAAAAATTCAACGGGCACTTGAGAAGGAAGCAGTTTTACACTTGACTCACTATGACAATTCCGTCCAACGTGCCGTAAACGAATGGGATGTTGAAGCGTTAGGAATAATCCGATAAATTTACTTGCGGTTTATGGGGTTGAAAAATGTGAATGGAATGAGTGTTGGCTTGATGAAGTGAGGTAAAATAGTGAGAGATAATCCGAAAAACAGTCGCGACCTCAGATTTGGTCCGTCCTCAAGTCACACCAGACCGTCTAGGTAGAAATCAAATCCATTGGTCCGCCGACATATGAAACAAGTGAAAGTGTGGTATTTTGTAACGATTTTTATAAATTCCACAAAACTAGCTACCGCGCTTTGCAATGTATTTGCTTACTGACCCGCGTAAAACCATTTCGATTTCAGAAATGCAATAATACAATAGATGCTGTTCCTTAGGTACAACACTCGGGGACCTGTCCACGTCATTTCGGGTAAGCTTTCACTGAAACATCATAAGTCCTTTAACTCTGGACATCTTGCAATTTTATAAACTCCTGTGCTGGAATAGGTTTCCTTGTATTGCTTCCATTAGTCTACACACAAAAGCTGCGGCCATGTCAGGAGAAAAAGTTCGCGCCCGTAGTTTCCGATGGTCCGGCTACCATTGTTGTTTCAACTAAGGTCACTTTCGTACCGACGACCGGTAAAAGCCGGAGTGGATCTGTCAATTTACATCAGGCGGTGTATGTTTTCTCGAACGAGCAATCTACCATCTAGCCTCAAAAACCCCATTACGTCAAATCTTACTTTAGGTCTTAGTTGTCTGTGAACGTGCTGTAACTAATGAATTATAAAGCATCCCATTAGACTGATAGCCATAGGTGGAGCTCCTAAAATTGCTCGTGGTAGTGTTGATGTAGTGTTGAACGTTGGTACTGAAATGACAGAGTGTAACGGAAATTCGTTACCGAAGAACTACCATACAAGACAGTTAGTGCGAAATTAGTAGCTTATACGTTTTTTAATTACTTGTGAAGCGGTGGATCAGAAGCCTAGATCCGATCCCCTTTCTTTTGCCTAGTAAGCTCTCAGAATGGCGGACGATAGGTGCACTTGATGTCAAATTAGGATAATCTAGTGTATGCACTATTTGATGCAGATACCATAAACGTCCGTTGGCACTTCAAACCCTACTAGCAACATGTGCCGATCTGTACGCGGGAATGCGCATCACTGTTTAGTTACCTCGAACGTTTTTCTACCAACTGTTTCGTTTATTTTCCTCAGCGAAACAGACGCCAGATTGTCCATTAGGGTTGGATGCATATATCCTATATATATATATATATATATATATATATATATATATATATATGTAAGTATGTATGTTATGCCGGGTATCTGCAAGCATTCAGTGCCCTGATGCGCACAGGTAAACATTACGATACGCTAAGAAAATTCGTTGAAGAAACAATCTGAGACATTTCAGTTGACGGTTCCATTGAAAACATTTTACTCAGTTTTTGGACCAGATCTGTGTTAGAAATTGTGCCATTTGGTCCTAATGAAATACCATTCATTCAGAAGTGAACTCGAAAACTCATTGCAGTAAGGTGTGCAGCGTGGCATAGGTACATACTCAACTATAGTCCTGAAACATGGAGCCAGTATCTGGTACTGCGTAAAAAGTGCGCTGCAATTGTCCGCAAGAAAGCATTAACACACCAGCAGTAACTAACAGAAGCTTTGATGCCACTAACATGCTACGAATAAACATATGAATTGTGGTGTTCCCAAGCACATATTATTAAACAGACTGGTTGTAAATACCGATAATGCAGTCAACGTTCCTACGACTACATTGTGCTCCGATATATCGACGTGCCACCAGCTCGTTTCACGTAATGTCCTGTCGGCCAAACACAAGAATTTCCTCTTTACTTCAAGGATCATATTGAGGAAGCTGCCATCACTGACCATCCACAGCTCCCTCGGAGTTCACAACTATCACGCGAAAGCGCTGGATTTGTTAGCAGCGACGCTTACTAAGCCAATGTGGATGCACAGTATCATTGTGATTTGGAAGCAAATATTGGTACCCCAGCTTGTGCTGTTGGTATTCCTGATGTTGGCTGCGTATCACTGCCCCCACTTTTGAAGGTGGTAGCTGTTCACAACTCATAAACTGCCGTTCACTGATTCGCCCCCACTGCTCTCAAAGGTAAATGAAGCGATCATCACTGAAGTATTATTGGATTGTTTACGAAGATCCAACACCTTAGCATTGGCCCAACGCCGATTCCGTCAACATCTGTCGTGTGCCGTACGCGTGGAAGTTGAACTGAAACGCCTGGATCCCTACATCCTCTTTTACAAGTTACGAACCCGTGGAATTTGGAACTGTGTTCTTAAATAATGCTAGAAATATCTTCCCTAGCAGCGGCTGCAGGTGCGGCTTCGGAGCTCATTACCTGCTCATGTTGACGTGAAATGCGGTGTTCCACATTGATCAGTTATAATACCGCGCCTATATCTTGTCTCCATTAACGACTGTGCATTCTAGCAAGTCGACTTTCTTCCTTTTGGCTCATGTTTTCCATATATGGCAAGTAATCTGTACTAAGCAAGATCAAGATCAGCACAATCGCCCGCTGATTACACAGTTCGGTTGCTCTAGCATGAACACTATAAGGTCTGAACATTGTTCCGACACTCTACTCATCATGTTCTGCAAACAAAGTGCTGATTTACTGCTTAGAAAGCAATGCGTCTAATCTACTTTGCAAAATGTCCGATTTCTGCAAAATGTTCAATACAGTTAGAAAAACGTCCAAAATAAATTGGAAATGTTATATTAAGTGTTATGATTACATGAACGACCGGCTTCAATTACCTAGTGCGCCTCCGCATGCATAAGTGGCCGCATTAATGTCTTGGATGTCTGCAGCATCGTTTTTGAATCAATAGCGGTCGCCAAGTAGCATTTTGTTCTATGGCAAAGTAGAACACTTTGGATATTTTTGCATCGTAAAACAAATATCAGTAGAATCCGTTACGTTCCAGATCCGAACGTAACCATGTACTGGTACGTACGACACCAATATTTGGTCACGCAAAATGATCCGTAAGGAAGTGAAAGACTATACATTTCCGTTTTCGTAGGTTTTTCTAAAGACCGAGTCTTGTAGGTTTATACAATAAAACATGCAATTAGCTTAACGATTTTCAGAAGTATGAGCTGATAAAACATCAGGTTTCTAAGTTGTCCAATTTAGTGGACTAAGGAACAGCATAATGTGCTATGGCGGAACGTAAAGGAATCTAGTGCAATTGAAACACACCGGACTAGGTTAGTTTCATGTTAGATTTTTGCTTACTTGGCGCAATGCGAGATAAATCCGATAGCGTGGCTTCATATTTCTTTTCCGTTGACGGCCGAAGGATGCTCCTGCCATATCCCCCTGACTTTGTTTTAGTTGATTTTCAACAAAGAAAGATATGAATGCTCTGGCCAGAGGGCTCCAACTTCCCGTTAGTTGGTGAGGAAGAGAGTTATGATACGTTGTGGTCCAGGATTTGTTGCGCCCTCTTCTGGATGACCATGACCAAAGTGGATCATTCATTACGAGGGCCAGACGAGCGACCAGGCTGTCTCCAGGAATGACTTGACGTTGACTAATGGTCAGTCGACAACATATCACATCTCTGGTTGGACATTCAGAGCCTGAAAATGGATGACATTCGAATGTCGACAGTTGGTTTTGTGGAATCCAAACTGAATGCGGTTGATAATGTGGACGTATACATTTGTTCACACCTAACTTTGGAGTTCGTGTTGTAGACGAAGATTTGTCTGCAAGCATTTGCTGCAATTTTCTGCAAATTCCATTAGGATTTCCATTCCCTGTGGTTCCCATCGACAGTTCTGTCGTTCCACAAGGCTTTCGTATACGTTCAGCATTCGTCATATTAACGTTCCTTGGTTTTTTACTTCGAAAGCTTTGCGATGCACTCCTGAACAGTTTGGACGTTTTCTGTGCTTGATTCGTTGCAAATGGAGTAATAGTTTTACTGCAATTTGTCGAGTCTGCATACCTTGCTAAATTTTCTTCACTGCATAGATTATCACTGTCCAACTGTCCACAATTATCGGAATAGGGCTGAGTTGCGGTGGAGTCACCTTTCAAATAATTAAACTCGTTGATAAATCGTCGACTGATTGGCGGACAGGATAATGTGCTGAGTATATCCTGTGAGACAGAGAAAGAAGATTAGTAATCAAGTTTAACAGGAACCTAGAGCAAACTGGTTATATTAAGTATTGAGCGGTGAAGAACATACTAGTCGGATGACAGTTTCTATGCTTCAAGTAATTGTTTGCATTGATCAGAATATCTTTCCAATGCGCCGTTCAGATGAAGGGAGAATACCTGTATACCAAGGCACACGTTTCCTGCATATTTTAGTTTCAATATATCGCAATGTACGAGCATTAATTGTCACACAATCCCATTGAAAATAAGTGAGCAAGCAGCCATAACTTGCACAGTCAGCTTTTCCTTAATTTCTGCTTCATTAAGATTCCGTGGACGCGGAAACCAGTGTACGCTTGCAAGACAGGTAAGAAAAGCATTAATAAAGCTCCTTTGGACTCCTAAAACTTCCATATACCAGGTGTGTAAACTTCATAGCAGAATATAGATAGTGAATACCCAATTCACCTTCTCCAAAATCGCTCATAAGTACTGTTGCAAAAATAGCGAAAAGTAACCATAAAACAAACGAGATCTCAAGATTGGAGAAACTAGGCGCCTAATATTAGCTTCAGCTCAGTCTCCGGTTGAGTTCTACACAAGGTGCTTAAAGCAAGGAGAAATCGCGAATGCTTGGATGAGTTCCAGCATAATGCTAGTACCTAACACAGAGAGTGGTAAATATTGGCCTACTGCGTCCACCTTAGTAGTTTGAAGGTCTATGAGAAAATCATTCCTGGCAAAATGTTGGTCCAATCCCGTTTAGGTGACCCATTTCAGTTTGTGTGTAGAAGTCCAAGATTCAACCGACTCGGTGGCTTGTCTAGGTTATTTCTTCTTGTGCTCGCTAGACAGTAGGAAGAAATCCATAATTGTCTGCTGCCTCAACTGCAACAATGCTTTGGACTGTGTTAAACGTAAATTGCTGTTGCAAGCTATACAGACGTCTACTATGCAACTTCTTTGTATTCTTGCTAAAGGATTATATCACCAAACGAACTCAGGTCATCATTATGGCGGAGAAAGCTTCTCATCACTTACCACAACAGCTGTTGTTCTTTTAAGAAGCTATTTTCTCCCTATTCCGGTTCTCTAGTTGCCTAAGCTCTCCACTTGTCACAGAAGAAGCCATTTTGCTAAACCGTGCGGACGAAATTACCATCTGCGTGAATCATCAGACCTCGGTCTCCTCAGCCAAGCCGCAGAGGTTTTTAGAGGAATTACTCTAATGGGTAAATTCCCGCTGCCTGACGCTGAACGCATCCGTGTAATGATATGCTTTTCTCACTTCATAAAGCAGCTCGTTATCGGAAAATTGTTACTGAATGTCCCAAACTCCAGATTGAAGGTGACAGTTTGAGCTTATCTAGGTCAAGTGAATATCTTGGACTTGCACTAAGTCACGATTCCTCCTGTTCACTGCACGTGAATTAAGTTATCACCAAGGCCAGGAAGATTTCGTTTTATATCGCTCGATTAGAATCTTCCTGCTTACCATAAAATTTTATTCTGAAGTCCATTACTACTTGCTTTCTATCATAATGTACTTATTGCTCACCCGTGACTTTTCTGGTCCTACTGTGTATGTAGTTCAAGCTGCTTGACAGGTCACTGAAGCACTTGCCTCGCTACATTGGTATTTCAAGGCCAACTGTGACAACAGCAATTGTATGAACGCACGCTAATCCATGCAGCAAACTTGCTTCCAAAACATGCACTGACACTAGCCACTCGCTTCACACTGCACTTTCAAACTATATATCAACCTCCTCGACTAGACAAGAATATAAAACAATATTGCCCGTATGACGTCTTATCGTTCGTCGGCTATTTCCTAGTTTAGCCGGATCTGTACTTGATCAAAACGTTATTATTCAATAACTGCCGGTAAATCCTGCTGGTGAGGTTATGTTTTCCATTGAGTTAGATAATTTTATTATTGTTCTGCCGCTGCTGCTTTGCTTTTTTGTCACATCAATACTATGCGTGTCAAAACTGAAATGCACCCATAACTGGTGCATAAAAGTGTCTTTCTAGACTTGAAAAATAGAGTAAACATTAGCCGTTTGTTGACTGTTGGCTCAGGCTTCACGAGAATCTATGCATGGTTTTCTGAATTTTGCACATATACTTTTATGATCCAGCATATTTACGTATGTGGTATTACAAGTAGCGTTTAACTGCTAAGTCTTTTTCAAAGCCTATCAAAATTTCGCAGGTTGCTTTGAGCAAGTGCGTCATGCAAATACTCAATGTGAGCCGCCGGATTATACCGTAGCGAAAAGAAGCCACACTATTTCTGGCGGATGTTATCCCTCTAAAGTCTTCATTGGCCTCTTTTTGATTGTTTTGCCATTTAGAGCAGCCTCACAACGGGCTCTAAAATAGCTTCAGGTAGCCAGTAGAAGGGCTTTGCAACACGTGTGCTCAGTAAGAATCAGATGCGGAACTATAGGAAAACTGTACGAAGAAGTACAGCTCGAAAATATTGGGTACGACGAGCGGCGTAACTTCATGCCTCATCGGAAGGATTTATCCACTCTCTCCGCACTAGAATTAATGCATAATCGTGTTATGGGCTTCCGAAACAGACCTTATACTATAGCTGCATCATCGATGTAGAAAAATATGCGGTTCGATCTTCACCTGGTCAGATATTCCCACCTGTGGAACAGGCTAACTGTCAAACAAATCATGCAAAGATGGTTCCTTCCGCACCAAATCCGATGGTTACCATGAATTGAGCACGATTATGAGAATGTTCTCATTAAAGAAATCACTAGATTCATTGTTCCAAGTGGGAACACTTATATCCAGCTTGTTGGAGCAGTCAAACTTTTCCCTTGTTGCTTACCTTTAATGTTTACGGATAGCCTATACTGTAAATCGACGTATTCCATAAAGCAAAGGAAACAGAAGTAATAGTAGAAACACGGGAAGTTGATTAAGTTTTCCCTCTGCATATTATCTATCCAGGGGTGATTCTGGGGTGTCATTCAAGGGGCAACACTCCGGTGTCAAAGTTCGCCCATAAACCTTACCAAACCCAGGACCATATTTACTTGCAACCACATCGTGAGCCAATCTTAAAACAGATATACTGCACATGTCAAACATATGTCATGAGTGTACACTTGTGATTTTAAGCTTCCATCTGGTAGACTTCCATCAAAACATAGTTAACCCCGATCTATTCAGTACTAGTAAATGTGCGGACAAAAGTGCCCACCCCTGCCATAATTTTTCATTCGACAGCACGATCTAACGTGAACTGCCTAACCAGTTTCAGTCGCCTGCACGATCTTTTCAGACTTCAGGAATGTACACATTATTATTGTTACTCCTTATATCGTAGCTGACTTTATTAGTATTATTAGCAATATTATTATTAGTAGTAAAATTGTTTTCCGATCCAGCCGTGTACTCCTACGCCGTCGTGTATTTCCACTCATTGTCCGCTCCGAAGGCTTCTTTTTAGAATGCTTTTCGAATTAGTTGTGTTGCATTTGCAGTCCCCTAGATAAAGAGATAGCAGAATAAATATGGATATTCATTGCTTTTCACCAGATACATCTGAATTTGGCACACTCGTAAAAATATATCCATTGACCGCATGTCGATTGGTTACGCGCAGCACATTGCGAACGAATCGTTATCCATTCGTCCGATAATATGCTTGGAGGTAATAATGAGACCCCATGTGTGAACGGTTGGCGGAAGTTCGTTGAGGCCTGTTCAGCCTAGCATTGATGTTATCAAAGAAAATCTGCAGGAAACCTGCAACATACTGTTGTTTAATGAATACACTTTACATAATACGTTATAATTAGAGTAGTAGTATAAATCACAAACTGTGGCAAGATTGGTTGAGAGGAACTGAGATGGCTAATAGTGTGTTTATGAACTCAGACCGCGAAGGAGACGGATTTCTTTTGACTAAGAAGACAGCTACTTGTTTGTAACTCACTTTCCTTTCATGGATATGTAAAAGGACATTCCAAAATGAAAAATGAAAATCAATGACATCACCGCGGTTAAATAAACAACTAGATCTGTTATTCAAGCAGTTATCTTTAGATGGAACTATCTACACAACAACTTATCAGAGTTACCTTTTCTTTACCGATGACCACTTCGCGCACGACAACAAACCCTTGGATTGCTTGTATTTTCTTTCCGTTGATTAGGTGTAGGCAGGCCCTCAAGCTGAACTCCACGCTCCCTCGACTACCAGTAAATGTGGAGGGGCATGATGCAGGCAGATGGAATTCAAATGGGTAAGAGTGTTCCCCGACCAACGCAGATTCCCACAAATTGGTCGAATCCACATCTGGAAAATTTAAATGATAGTAAGGTAGTTAATATCACTAATAGAGTCCCTCTTCACAAAATCACAGTTTAGCGCACAGTGTGCCTACCGTTAACCAATGAATAACAACTGATTGATATATTTCTCTACCACGCGAGACAAAGACCGATTTCGTAGCCTCAGCAATTAGTACATAATCAAATAACGAAGTTGTGCTATTTTTTCAATGGTCCCTATGGACTAAAAGCTGGAGAATTGGAGAATAAGAATAAATGTGGATATAACCGGTAGTTCAAGTAAAGTAACACGGCCATCAATGGAACCATCTCCTTCTGATGGGACTTCGTATTTGGATCGGAATGCAATTCATAATGGCAGCAGATACTAACGCTAGGTGAAATCATCATTAAGTTTACCACAGAGGATGAACTTGGGAGTTCAAATGTGGCTGGAAATGCGATCCAGAGCAGCTGACCAGCAGCTCGACCTGTTGCAGAGAGCAATCACGTAATTTGATGCTTCAGTCTTTCCGACACGCACATGCAGATTGTTAAGGAATGTGCCATCCAGTTCTGACAGAACTGGTGGGCGCATGAATAGATCGCTGTCAGTAATCCATGGGCCGATACTGGCTGGGATGGTTAACGGCTTTAACATCTCTCATACGAACACTTTGGTTGCTAAAACAGAGCACGGTGAAATACGAACTTCAGTTTACAGAAACGACAGGTACACAGATCAAATCATAACTATTAGAATTAGTCATGCAGGATGCTATACACAGTCTACGAACTCGATATTGCCAGAAAAAATCATAATGCAGTACTGCTGAAACAAAACGGGAGGAAGAGAAACATTTGTTTGCGTTTTTCTCACGCAACGAATAACCATGCAATTTTATCTGAAGCTACATTACTCAATGAAACAATGGTATAACATAGGTAAGAAAACAGGCTTGACAGGGCTCGTGTGATGTATTGTGCGAATTGCACACTTCCAGGCGAAACGTACATCTGTGCACTCGCCGTAATATCCACGTTAACCCAGTTTTGTGGGGGGGGTGGTTGGCACAATGTCTGCCTACGTCTAGTCCTCACTCGACGAACAGTGCCGAAATCAAGTATTGCAGACGGAGTATTACATGGCCGAGCCGTTAGAAAACTGGTAGTGTGTGGAGCAATGATAAAAGTGGGAAGAGCATTCCACGGCGGACCAATATTAAGAGAAAATCATTCAGGCAACATGCTAGCTGACTGCATTAGTAAGATCATTTCAGCTATTAACACCTCACATTCGTGTTGCGGCGAAGTTTCAGGAGGTAGTGGCAAGTGTGACCGACCTGGTTTTATCATGATATTGTACGCCTGAATGAGATCAATCCGCGGACTACGATAACTTTCGCTGCACAGTCCTAGGGCTTGAAACCGTAATTGTTATGGCTGGTGGAACATTCCCTTCATATTTTTGTTTACCCTTTGCTGTGAGGTCTCCGGTGCAGCCAGATCGCGTTCAGACCAGAGTTGCTAGACCTGAATCGCGTACTCAACGTGATGCCCGACATTTACTTTGAGTAGCTGAGAGAAGATGCAGGGGTTGAGCCGACCGAAAGTCTTCTATAAGAGACCAATACTTTTGTTCTCGGTTCTGGACGAATATCCGAGGTCACCACAAGCTCGCGCAGATGTGAAGTGGTTTTCAAAAAGTGGTCTCCAAGCGTATATGCGTTAGTAGGCTGGTGGCGTGCATGTGCAGCTATGCGCCTAATGCGTTGAACAGAAGTGGATTTACCTCAGACTATATAAAACACGGTTTAAATTTCGTTGCAGCAGATCGTCCGCCACATCTTGTTACCATCGGCAAAAGGCAGAAAATTCGACTTAATGGCACATTCGATTTCAGTAAGATGAAGAATAGGAGTCACACCAAAACTGAAGACCACAGCCCACATCAATAGGGTCAGCTAATGAACGCCGAACCGGAAAGTGCAGCAGCAGCTGAAGAAGGAAAATTCCGATCCATCCAAGTGCAGGGTTCCAATTCGGCACGTTTGCAACCTTAGACGAAAGATTTGATGATCTAATCAGTCTAACGCTTTGGAAAATTCGAGGTAGATGACATCAGTGCCGGCATCACTATCCACCTACCAGGTAGCACTACAGGTTGCTACGACAGCATAAAATTACCCCACCGTCGTTTTTGGGGTGAACCTTTCGGGGTAGGAACATGCCATGTATCGCACCTTCAGCGTTGGTAAGTTCTGAGTGAAAGCAAGTTCCCGTTACTAAAATGTCCCAGGCTGTGCTGTTTTTCATAACCGAGTTCAGTCAGCTTGTTCAAGTGACCCTGTGCTTTAGTGTACATGTAGGCAAGTTTCTCTGTTCACAGTAGTGAGCAGGGGATGCGTATTTTGGGTGTGACGTTGCGTCGACCGAGGAAGTGTCGGTTATTAATAGATTTGTGTGACGCTAACAAACCCAATTGTGTTAGGTCCAGTGGACACGTCATTAATTCTTTGCATCTCTCTTTGTAGGTAACGTATGAGCTGTGTTCACCGTTTTCGTCGGCTAAATGAGTGATGTTTTCTGAACCGTTGTTGGGAAGCGACTCAACGAAATTGCTGCTCACGTGTGTTTGCTTAAGGGACTTTGCCTTGATCCGGAGCTCGGAAGATAGGTTGCTGCGGCCCGTACATCAGCAATCTAGTAACCTTGTTGACATCTCTCTGTACTGAAGGGCCACTTTCACAATTCTCAGGTCATATTCTTCGTAACTTGGCGACCTGCGTAGCCTTTAGATCGATTGCCCTACGATGTTTTCCAGAGACAGGGTCTCGCAAACGTAGCCCGACTTCTGCTGGTCATGAATGGTCATTTCGCTTTCGTCATAGTCTGCAGCATCAGGAAGACTGTGTACACGGAGAGTTCTGGCCACGGATTCCTCCAGGTATCCTTTCGAGTCGCGTTTTGCCTGTTTGCGCTCGCTCCCCGGAATATCTGAGAAGGCGGGGATGGACTATGACACATTCCGGAGGCGAGCTCTCAATAACAGGACTGCATCTGCATCATCAAAGAAGTCAATACAAATCGAAAAGTCATGGTTTACCGTAATTCTTTGAGTTTGGGTGATTGGTTTCCAGCGTCAAATTGATCGGCTTAGCTACAACATCTAGAACTAGAATGCCGAAACTACGACGAAGACGGCGAAACAGATTGTTTTGAGGTATGTGATAAACATCTCAGAACTGACTACCAGACTCCTCCAGCTACACAAGCTATTGTTGACTAAGAGTCCCACAGCTACGCTGGCAAAATATCTGTCTAAACACAAGGGAATAGTGGAAGTACACGAACGACGAAATTTGTGTACACAAGGATTCTGTGCCAAAGCGGTGTCGAAAACGATGGGAGCAAAAAGTGTAGAAAATAACTAATGGAATGATGGAGCCAAAATGTGCTTGCAGAATCCAGTAAAAGGCGCTTTATATTTCGCTCTATGCCGATATAGGAGGACAAAACCTTGTGTGGAACAGCAAGGGAAGAATGATATATTTTGGGAAAACAAAATAACTGACGGGTCTAAATCAGAACGAAACCGGTCGGTCGTGGAGTGCAGTGTTGGGAGAAAGCAGCTCCGAAAGTCTCCACTTCAGATGTGGTCCCAGTGAGCGAAATGACATAGGTTTGTTTCAAAACAAACTGTAGCCTCAATCGAGATTGCGTTTCACAACCGGACTCATGGCGGGTACTCCAAGATGCAGTAATCAAGTTCAAACCTCTGTGTCCAGCGCTGCAGTCGACTCTAGTCTAGTGACCAAGATGAAAGTCGTCAATGTCTTAAGCTCCCCCCTCAACTCAAGCTATCTTTACCTGACGAGTCCAACTCATGACGAAACCGGTCAGTCGTGGAGTGCGGTGTTGAGACTAAGCACCTCCGCAACTTTCCACACCTGGATGGTTGGTTTGCCAAAGAGAATTTAATGCAGCTACGCCTTAACCTTGTTCTATATTCCGACAATTGAGAACGAGAGGTTAGGAGGATTGGAAACCGGCAACTGAATCGACACAAACCAGCGACGTCACAACCAATCAATCATCCATCGTTACCTTGTTCTGTAAGCAACATAGTCAATTTACCAATGAATTTGCATGAAGCCATCCTAGATGCAGCAGGTTTCACACCAACCAACATAGGTCAATCATTTATTCCCGACGGCTCAGAAATGCAACTGATTCGGTCGAAGCGTGTGTATGAAATTTATCTATAGGACAGTGCCGTAGTCAGTGGAGTTCGTCTCTGGGCTTGCTTGAGGCTCAGTAGCTGCTGACAAGTCACATGTTGCTACGCACTGGAGACACCACCCCGATTAGTGGCAAAACGACTGCAGTAAGACAAAACACAGGAAGGTCGATTGCATGCATAAAACTAAGTAGAATGGAAGACAGTCCTTACCTCCAAGCAAGACATGCATGAAGGAGATGGTTGCCACTACAGACTTCAGTTTGTTTTTTAACACAGATGTATCAACATAATTGATCAAATGATAAGTTATCGGGACCTGTTATGACACCTGTTGTCCGATTCCAACCATATTCATCCATGCTGATCGGATTTGTTTACCGCGACTAAAATATTTACTCAGACTTAGAGAGGACTTTCAAAATTAGAGCTCATGCCTTAGAGTTCCATTTGCTCTTATTAAGGAGGAAGTGCATTATCTCATTTATACATGTGTCCAGACAGATCTGCAAAACAACAGTTGCTCTGATATTTAGTGGATGATGTATCTAGTAATTGAAGTCAACCACCATGGTCAAAGTTCTGTTGGTAAAGTAGAAGAATTAAATCGCAACCACTGCTATCCTAGCAGTGACGTATTCACTGACTTATTATCTGTAGAGTTTCGGTGGCCTACGAACTCTTACTGCGCCACTAAAGAAGATTCGAATCAACTGCATTCAAGTGAGAAAAGCGAGCTCGACATGTTGTCTATCGTCGCCCCCAAGTATTGTGCGGATTCATTAGTCTAGCCTCTGGCTGAGTTATGCACAAAGTTCTTGGAGAATTGCTTACACAACGAAATTACCGAAGCAATGGATGGTGGCTTTAAAGACATTCGAAAAACATATTTTTGAAAGAATGCCGGCTCATTCTCGCTTAGCGGACCCATATCAGTCTGTATATAACAGCTCAAGGTCAACACAACTCGCAGCGGCTAGCCACATACATCCAGACTTGTCTTAACTAGAAAGTAAGAAGGAATTTAGACCTGTGTGATCCCCTGAGTGCAGCAACACTTTTTGTTGCACTAAGTGCGAGTTTCTAATTTGAGACCTATGCTCTCCCGGTATTAAATCTGCCCTAGAGTTCTTGCAAAAGGATTATGCCCCCAAACCTATTCAATTTACCAGATTTGGTGGCAGGATCTCTTTGCCACTTCTACAAATTCCAGTGCCATTCAAGGAGCTATTCGCTCATCATTCTTCTTCCTTACCTACTTTGGCTCCATACTTTTCCTAAAAGAAACAGTTACTAAAATATACACGGCGAGAACCACCCCACCCCAGCTTTTCCAACCAAGCTACAAAGTTGGTTGGATGAACTAGTGTAATGATCGTGAACCCTCAGAGTTACGCTGAACTCATCAAAGTGCGATGACATTCTGTTTTAACTTGACAAGGCACTAGTTGCCAGAATATTGTAAAAGGCTGTCCCAAAGGCCAAATCCTTGATGAAAGCTGGAGTTGCTTTCCAACAGTAAAGCATTTTGGAGCCACAGTGAGTTGTGATTGATCGGGATCACCCCACGTGACTAAAGTGTTCATATAAGTCAGGCAAGTTTCGGTTTACATCACTCATTTGCGATCACCCTCCGTAACGCACAATTTGGTGCAGGAATTCAGTACTGCGTGTATTCTACCATACTGACATTACTGCTCTGCTGTGATTTTTCCAGGCCCGTTGTGTAAGCATTTCAAACTACTTGACAGGTCGCTGAAGCAGTTTTCTTGCTGCAGCGGCGTTCCAAATCCAACTTAGGTTCAAACAATAGTATCTACTCATGTTAATTGCTACGCAAAAATTACTCCGAAAATCCCCAATAACGTCATTCTCTTTATGCATCTTGCACTAAATATATGGCTAATTCATCGACCAGACGAAAGTACGGAGCAATAGATTCCCGCACCTAGGCTTAAAAGTCATCGATCAGTCATCAACTGGGCAGATTTCGGCATGACCAGAGGGTGATTTTCCAAGAACTAACCGATAAATTTTACCAGTGTTATTTACTGAACATTTTCGTTGCCTCTGTTTTACCGCCATACCATCATCCCCTTTTTCTCTTATTGACAGTTTGTGCGTTTCGGCCAAAAATGCACACGCCATAATTTTATTAGAGCGTATTCTTGACTTTAATTGAAATTAAATTACTCGACTCGGAGAACCAACCAAGACTTCAAGTTAGACTGAAATTCTTAAAATTTGCAGAGAACACTTTCGCTGTCTGCGGGGACCTCGTAACGGGGTAACAAAAGCTTAGAAGCTAGAACCACCTTTTCCATACAAATCTGAAACTCAAAAACAACACTATCCTGAACGACCTCAACTTGGACATTGCCAAGCTTCGTGACTGGTGGGAAGGTCGTGTGATTGACTCACCCTTCGGATGCATTATTCTCTCGAATTTCGCCACCCAGTTTCCCACATTTTTTGATTATGACTGTAACTTGAGATATATTCTCCGATTTAAAAGATGTGAGATGATCCGCGTTCATCAGATGCTGAGGAAATTTAAACTAAAATGTGCTCACCCGCTTCCCTTATAATATACGGCTTGAAGAGTTCAGAGTAATGTTTAGGTGAACATCCTGGTCAGCCTACTGGTTCGCAGTTTTGTCTGTATATTTTCGGCCGTACTGTGCTCACGCTGACCATATTACGGGATCATGTGATCAATAGGTTTTACCGGTAAAAACCACAGTTCACTGTTGGTTTAATGTGTAAGACCTTGGAGCAACAGTCGATTCCCAAAAGGTGACGTACAGACTGTACACATGCGTACACCTGCACAATGCAAAAAGAATTGATAGATCGGTCAAAGCGTTTGCTCAACGAAAGTCACGTACCGTGGTTTAGTTGCATGCAAAAAATAATGGCACTCACTCCCGCCGAAGAGTGTTACCAAGTGGCGACAAATAATCTCTTCGTTCACTATCACGAATGTCGATTGTAATCTTCGAAGCGAAGTGGCAGCACTCAAAATCATTTCTGTCGATTGCAGTGGCGTTTGTAAGTGAACACTTCCGTGGTTTGTTGGTGTGCTGACGACGAAACCGCCGTTTTGCTGTGACAGAAGGTTTGGGGCAAACGACCGGTGTTTCCAATGCCGTCTGCTGCGGACAGTCAGCTTTCGGGCACAAGGAGAGACAAGCACGGCTTTTCCAAGTAACTCAATGTGGAGAACTGTGCACAAAAAGAATTTACGGAAGAAAGATAACGCTCGACAATGAAGTCTAACTGATAAACATTGAACAATTTGCGACGAATTATCTGAGCATACATCCCTCGATACTGGTCGCAAAGAATTTGCATACAGAAGGGGTTATTCCCAAGGTGGTATAATTTGTGCCCATCCTTGTTATTGCACTGCAAATCAACCCTTTGCCGAAAACAAATGAAGCCCTTCCTGAGAAGCCTGACAAGAGAATTTATGGCCTTAAGGGACTTAGCCTGGATCGCCTATACAGCCCGTCACAATGTGCACGTCTGGGATGCTTACATAACTTAAACAATGCGTCATACTGGTCTAATAAGACAAGGTCAAGTACCAACAAGACTTAGTGATGAAATCCACTACTAATCCAATAATGATGTACAGGCACATCAGCAAGCTCCACATAGTATAAAGCGGAATCCAAGTTTGACTTGCAGCAAAGGGTTTGGTGCTAAGTGCACGAGGCGCGGTCAACGCGCTTCGGTAACAGTCCAATCGCAATTTTCGAAGCGAGTCATCATCTCACTTGCCTTTGACACAGCAAAAACCCCACCCAAGTGTTAAACACCATGTTTTTCACTGTGGCTTATAACTAAATAAATAGTTCATGCTAGACAATGCAAGGCACGCCTGCATAGACATGACCATGGTAAACGGGCAACGAATGGTTGAAAAGTGTTTAAAAATGTCGCAGATTTTTCAGTAACTTCATCGAACAGGCCCAGTATCAAGCAGCACGTGTCAGAGAATCTGTGTTTAATGTAGCAAAAAGCTGCACGATTCATGCGAGAGTTAAGCTTTTTAGGCTACTCAGCCGACCCATTCTCAAGTACTGTAGCATAATAGTTAAAGTGAGAAAAAGCTACAGAATTGCTCTAGAACATCTGCAGAATGCTTACCTGTTAGGGAGCAGTCTCCAGTCCCACGCTGATGCCGATATTCGCACACGAATTTTACACAAGCTTGAACAGGAACCACAACTGACGTTGCAGGATATCACTACAAAAAGCCAGCGGCTGATAAATTTGAAGCACAATACAAAAATGGTTGAAACTGCTGATCACAAAACTGAACCCCAAATTTGTCGTACAGCTATCCGACGTAAAGGAATGAACCGAACTGGATCAACTCAGAAGCCCCCGACCGCATGCTGGAATTGTGGCGCCTGGCATTTTGTGAGAGATTGCACATATAAAACGCACCAATGTCAGAAGTGCAGACGGATTGGTCATAAGGAAACCCACTGCCGAGTTGTGAACAATTTCAGACGTTCTTTTCCCACAAAATGCGCGTAAATCCTAATTTTAGAAGAGCCAATTTTCACGGACCGGCCGCAAAGATAATCCTCGTCGCCTTTCGCACAGAACTTGCACGCAAGAGAAAGTACGTGTCAGTAAAAGTCAATCGTGTCCCTATCATGTTGCAGCTGGATACAGCGTCCGACATTACAATCATCTCGAGATCAGTCTGGAAGAGGCTTGGGAAACCAGCATTCAAACGCACAACCCTGACGGCTAAAAATGCATCTGGGGGATCACTGAGATTAGATGGTGAGATTGAGTGCGAAGTCAGCTTCAATGGCTTGAATCTTCGTGGCACGATTTACTTGGTTACGAGCAGTGACGTAAATCTGCTCGGCATCGATTGGATCGAGAAGCTGCATCTACTCCATGTACCATTGAGTCACATTTGTTCTGAGAATAATGTCGCGGTGCTTCGTACAGCCGTATCGAATCAGCCGGGTCAAAGTATTGCAGAACTGCTTCAATCGAAGTATGCATGTGTATTTCAATCAGAGCTTGGACATTGCACGAAAATGCAGGCAAAGCTTACCCTGCTTCCTGAGGCAAAACCAGTGTTCCGACCCAGACGTCCAGTCCCTCACGCATCCCAAGCACTAGTGGAGCATGAGCTTGATCGATTACAGCAGGCCGGAGTGATTGAGCAAGTCAGTTTCTCACAATGGGCGGCGCCTATCGTTGTGATCAGAAAACCGAATGGCTCAGTTCGTTTGTGTGCAGATTTTTCAACCGGCTTGAATGCTGCATTAGAACCCCATCAGTACCCGCTTCCACTCCCAGACGACGTGTTTGCAAAGCTGAATGGAGGCAAGTACTTTGCTACTCTGGATCTGGCAGACGCTTATTTGCAACTGCAGGTCGAACCGGAAAGCAGAAAACTTCTAACCATCAACACGCATCGCGGCCTTTACCAGTATAATCGTTTGCCATTTGGAGTGAAAACTGCACCTGCAATCTTTCAACAAGTTATGGACGCTATGTTGACTGGCTTGACGGGAGCAGCAGCCTATCTAGATAATATCATCATAATGGGCGGAACCCAGGAGGAATTATTTCAACGATTGGATGACGTGATGATGAGAATTAAGGAATATGGATTCCGGTTGCGAGCTGACAAATGCAAATTTTTCCTGAAATCCATCAAGTTCCTGGGTTTCCTGATTGACGAGAACGGTCGACGGCCTGATCCTGAAAATATCGAGGCCATAGACAGATTACCGGCACCAACGGATGTCACAACCTTGCGCTCATTCCTTGGGATGGTTAGTCATTATAGTGAGTTCCTACCTTGCATGCATCGATTACGTCATCCTTTAAACCAATTGTTGATGAAAGATGTTGAATGGAACTGGTCCGCACAGTGTCAAGAAGCTTTTGACAAACGCAAATCACTGCTGAAATCAGATTTGCTCCTTACGCATTACAATCCGAAGCAGGAGATTGTCGTGGCTACGGATGCTTCGAGTTATGGAATTGGTGCTGTCATCTCACATCGCTTTCCAGACGGGTCCGAAAAGGCTGTGGCACATGTGGCACGAGCGCTGACTGCATCTGAAAAGAACTACAGTCAAATTGAGAAGGAGGCGTTGGCCATCATCTTTGCCGTACAGAGATTTCACAAGATGATATATGGCAGAAGATTCACGCTGGTGACTGACCACAAACCGCTTTTGGCAATCTTTGGATCTAAGAAAGGCATTCCGACATATACAGCCAGTCGACTTCAGCGCTGGGCAACTCTGCTCCTGGGGTATGATTTTGGCATGCGGTATTTGTCCACTGATTCTATTGGACAAGCGGACGCCCTGTCCAGACTGATCAATACCGGTAGACGCGATCAAGAAGACGCAGTCATTGCATCCATTGCAGCCGAATCGGACGTCAGCTACATGATACAAGACGCAGTGTGTAACTTGCCAGTGAATGGTTTAATGGTTGCGCAAGCCACTAAACAGGACGCTGTGCTACAAGAAGTATTAACCTATACAGGAAGTGGATGGCCCAAGAAGTGTCCGAACGAAGCTTTGACCCAGTTTTTCACAAGGCGAGGCGCATTGTCGGAAGTTGATTCCTGTCTGTTTTTCGCAGATCGCATAGTCATTCCAGAAGTGCTCAGACAACGCATACTAAGAGAGCTGCACAAGGGCCATCCAGTAATCGCCCGCATGAAGGCACTCGCTCGCAGCTACGTCTTTTGGCCGATGATGGACAGCCAAATTGAGGATATCGGTCGATCCTGTTCCAGATGAATCAGTGCATCCAAACTGCCGGTGCGTGTGCCATTACAATCTTGGTCGAATCCAGGATCTCCCTGGTCGCGCATACATGTTGATTTCGCAGGACCAGTCGAGGGTTTGGAATTTCTTGTGATGGTTGACGCGTACAGTAAGTGGCCGGAATTGATCCGGATGCAAACCACGTCCTCAAACAGCATGATCTCGGAAATGAGACATGTAGTCAGTCAGCATGGCCTACCAAAAACCGTTATTTCCGACAACGGATCGCAGTTTACGTCCTATCAATTCGCGGAGTTTTGCGCACAAAATGGAATCGAGCACGTGAGGACAGCACCATACTATCCACAGTCAAATGGCCAAGCGGAAAGATTTGTTGATACCCTGAAAAAAGCACTTTTGAAGTCAAAAGGCGAGGGAATGTTGGACGAAAGACTGGAGCGGTTCCTACTGAATTATCGAGTGACTCCCAATCCCAATGCACCCGATGGGAAGTCACCAGCTGAAGTCCTAATGGGTCGCAGATTGAGAACTACACTGGATTTGCTGACACCCAGGCGTCCTCTCTCACAAACAAGGAACTTTGCAATGGAGCAGCAATACAACAGGCGGTACGGAGCACAGAGAAGGATGTTCAGAGTTGGCGAATTTGTATCTGCAGCGGCTATTCAGGGACGGCGGATCAGCTGGATACCAGGACGCATCGTGCGACGTCGGGGGCGGGTGATGTACGATGTTCAAGTCGGTGCGCAGGTATGGAGACGTCACGCAAATCAGCTGAAACCGCGGTGTACACTGGAAGGTGATGTTCAGAATGCCAACAGATTTGATGTTAATGAGTTGCTTGACAATGGCAAACCAAGTGCTTCTTCACGCCGAGAATCTCAACCAAGGGAATGCCCGGAACAAGAAGGTCGGAACAGACCCCAACGAACAAGAAAATTTGTACAGCCGTTTCAAGTGGACCCGCGTCGGAAAAGCTATGTTCCGTACAGGTAACTAACTTTTTTTTAGAAGGGGGAGATGTTAGGGAGCTGGCTACTTAACCCTCAGTTTTATGAATTATGTTAGTTGCCTATTTCTTTGTTTGCGCAGTTATCTGCTTCTGTGCTACATTTTGGACACGCCGCTTTCCTCATCCTCATTCGCAATCGCTCACAGCTAATTTCAGCCGTCTCATCCTGTGGACATTCTGATTGGTTTCTTTTGCTCAGCGTTCCTTAGCTTTTCACGTGGATGTATTATTCAGCCGACACATATTTATTATACCTGTTTTTATTTTCCTGGTTTGTATCATTCTCACTATCAACTGTTCTGGCATTTGTTTAAACGCATCACTTCTCCACACTGATTGGACGCCACTCGTCGTTTTTAATGGCCGCTCACCAGAAGGTTACCCCCAGGGATTAACTCCGCAGACACTATTTTCTTTGCCGCACTTCATTGGCTCGTAATTTTGGAGATTCTCATTTGCTTGTTCCATTTTGTGTTTTCTCCATGCCTGTTGGACCTCATGCGTTTAGTAGCTTGGCTTCGCCCTTGTTTCTAAAGCTATATAACTGGTGCCGTGCTGTGATAGAAAATCTGTTCATCCCGGCTCATCTGGACTTCTTCTTGCGGTCGTGGGGTGAAGGCGTACTGGGCGTCACAACATTACCAATGAGACGTAAACAGGTGGTTTACCATGAGTTATCGTGTGCCTTATAACAAACTTCAACCAGAGCCACCGCTGTGAATGCTAAGACTGAAGCGTAACTTGGTGCTGCTGTACAACGTACTGCATAACATGACCTACTCCGATTTACGTACAATGGAAATACAACATGGCTCATAGCAATTGGGTGTTGTCCGTCCGAAAACATTGCAATCCTGTGACGCGTTTCGATGTTATTACATCTCATCAGATAGAGTTAGCAGACATCGAACCAGGGACAATTGGGATGTTAGTTGTGACCGCTACCCCTAGGCCACTGGGTCAGACGGGTAACGCTTGGCACGACCGTTTTTGAACGATGTGCAGGGTAATTTAGAAGTACACGTTGTGTGGATGAATTTTGACGCGCAATCTCAAAGTGGACCGTGATTCCCATTGAAGTGAATCTTGGTCTTTCGATCAGCAGGACCGCAGCTGATGCACATAAAAATAGGGTGCTACCCGCTCGAAAACACTGCACTCCTATGACGTGTTTCCACGTTGTTACGCCTCATCAGATAGTTAGTAGACATTAACCATTATGTCAAGCGTTGCCTGTCATGACTCGATTGCTTAGGGGTAGCGGTCACAGCTAACATCACAATGCTTCCGCGTTCGATGCCTGCTAACTATCCGATGAGATGTAATAACATCGAAACGCTTCATAGGAGTGCAGTGTTTTCGGCCAGGCAACACCCAAGTTCTATTTGTATCAGCCACGGTCCTCGAGATTTAAAGACTAAGATTCACTACGATAGGAATCGCGGTCCAATTTGAGATTGCACGTCGCAATCCATCCACACAACGTTTACTTCAAAACGACCCTCAAAATCCAGCATAGCTCATTCTGGAAGCTTGGTAAGAACTGTACCCTGGTTATACCAAAAGCTAGGACAAGCATGCGCTCCTATTTCTTCCCTGTCAGATATATCTATCTGTGGAATAGACTAACAGTCACATGTAGGTGATGTTGTCCATAGCATTGACGCCGGACCTTACTGTATTGCGATGCTTTCGTCTAAAACATCCATCAAGTGAGCGATGAAATGTGGTGCTCTTTCGCAACTTAACATCCAATCATGCCAGATTGTTCAGTGGTTAGAAGCCAGACTTACTCAGTCTGATGACCCCCAGGTGGGTGGCTCTTCATTCTTTCAAAAGGACTCCATGTACCTCACTGTCAAACCTGCTGCCTTGCAGTCAGCTTTTTGAATCCAAGGCTTTGGTTGAGAACCCTAGTCGTTTTCTTGTCTATACTTGGGCAGACTGGCAGTACCCTGCTCCTGCAATAAAACAATTAGCTACAAATCGTTTCTTGGTGCTCTTGTCGTCTCAGAAGATACTTACCGGCACCCTGTCTGTTGCACCAAGCAGGGTGGTAGCGGTTCGAATACTATTGCTCAAGCTTTCCCATCTTCCTATTCCCCAGTCACGCTTTTCACCATTATCGTCTCGTACCAAGTTCACTTTTATTTCTCCGTTTTAAATACTATGTTTCTCGAAAGTGTGAGAAAATGTTCCTAAATTAGGAACAGAGCAGAAAGCACAGAAATGTTCAGGCTCTTGCATGAGTGCATGTTAGTTCCATTTCTCAGTCTTTTAGATATTTTTTGGATTATGTTTGGATATTCCATCAGGTGAGTTGTCACCTGAGAACATGACGAATATCACTACTACATCAGAGAAGCTGTCGAGTTTGGTGTTAAATGATGTAGAGTTTTCACAAGTCCTGATAGCGGCTGGTAGGCTGTTCCACAGGACGGCGTATCTGATGGGGAAAGGCCGGTATTCGTAGGGTAAATCTTTTCTTACGGAGTCTGTGCTGATTAGTGCTTTATCTCCATGTTATGTATGTAATATTACGTTTTCTGGTGCAACAATTTGTGTAGGAGCATCAAGTGTTGCTTTAGACATCGCAGCCAGAGAGGTTCGATGTGAAGTTGTTTACTACGTTCGTGATAGTTTAGAGTAGATGTGCTGTGGAACAAACATTTGGCGAATGGCCTCTGTAACATTTTTATACATTTCAGATCTACCTTCCGTATGTCGCCATAGGTGAAGTTGCAGCATTCGAAAATAGGAAGTGAGGGTTTTAAATAATTCCAATCTGGCGGGGAATGTATGGATTCTTTGCCATATGTTAACCACGGATTGTTTAGCCCGTGCTATTAGCTATTGGGCTTGCTCAGCAAAACGGAAGTAGGAAGAGCAGCGAATACCAAGATCACGTGTAGGCTGCCGTATGGACATACCTTTGTTGGTAAGTTTGTGACTCAGCGGGGATCCAGCAACCACAAGGCAAAATGTTTGATTTTATAGTACTCATAAGTAGCAGGATTTTAGTTGTAAATTTGATAAGGCTTTCATCCCAACAGTTCACAAGCTACATAGCAAAGCCTAGTCCGGAAAAGCGCCAGACACGTTTCGCCCTATTGGGGCTCGTCAGTGGAGCGCATTCCCTCGGTCCTCAAATTATGTAGCCCAGCCGACGTCCCCCATGGCTCAGTGGCTTAAGCTGCTTGCTAGTTGGCATCTGCCTCTAGCGGTCATGGGTTCGATCCTCATTAGAGGACCGAGGGAATGCGCGCCACTGACGAGCCCCAATAGGGCGAAACGCGTCTGGCGCTTTTCCGGACTAGGCTCTGCTATGTAGCTTGTGAACTGTTGGGAGGAAAGCCTTATCAAAATGTTTGATTTGTTGGTTGAAGATTTTATCAACCACGTCTCAAACCATTCTTCAAGCGAGTGAAGATTAACTTAAATTAAAATAGTGTGCTCTGAGGCACATCACGCCGATATTTTTGTAAACAATCTCGAGTTCATCTGCAAAGAGAAAGGGTCTACCATTTTTGAGGGCGCTACCAATATCATTGGCCCGCCCGCATCTTGCCTTGATAGGCGTTCATCTTCTAGTTTTCACTCACATACAAAAGCGGAGCGTCAACCCTGCCCTGTCAGAAAGCCCATGTCGAACCAAGCAGTAAAGCTCAGTTTATCGGCTTCTACTTGGAGGCCTTGATACTCCTTCAGCTTGGCATGCATAAAAATATGGCTGGCGGCACCCGGTTACGGATTTGCCTGTCACTGAGTCCAGCCACAAGACGCCTGCCCCTACTGAGGTATCATGAGCAGCTTGCGCTGCACCACCCACAGCCCCAACTACACATCCCATGTCCAGTGTAAACCCGAAGGAATAAGAACCGGAGCATTTCGATAGGAGCCACGTTTCATCAACGGAGCCGGCCAACACTCCTTCACAGGCAAACACAAGTACGCTGTATTTGGGAATCAAGCACCCACAAGATGGTGGCTGGACCCCAGTTCGCTCAACACCGAGTGCATGGGACCAGTCTTCGAGCCTAGCAAGGCAACAAAGACCGTGCACCCCGTCCCCTCCAGCAAAAAACAACTATCTCCTGGAGCCAATATGGATGAGGTAATGCAAGTGCACGTGTGCAAATTTATAGAAGACAGTGCACATAGATATTAATATTAGATAGAAAGGAATTAGGACAATATGGCAAACCCACAACCTGAAATAAAGAGACTCAGAATGCAAGCACGCGGTTAGCAAATCGAACGCAGCCTACCTACAAAAGCTGTGCTAGTTCTGCTTACGTGTTCTGTAGGACTCGTCGTCGTTTCGGTTTTGACCCCGTGTGGTCTCGCTCATGGCTCACCAGGCCTGCCTGACTCAGGCACTAGCGACAGCATGTGCTGCACCACCAAGCGATCGCTGTCAATGAAGTACAACTCATCGGTGCTAGTCGATTCCGCATTTGCCGCTTTTTTCCGCATGCACAAGGGATTTCTCTTGCACCTCGGCAACGGTCTTCACTTGCAGATCGCGCCATGCACACCGATCAACCGCTTTCGATTTCCATGACCTGTAATCAAGATTAGAACGTGCGGGGTTCACTTTGATCATGTCCTAGTAACATAAGTTCAATTTTCCCACATGCCTGAACATACGAACCTTGTTACAAATTGGTCAACAGGCAGCACTTAGCCGAATATTAGAGACCCCTTCGATTGATATCTGCTGCCTATCTCAAACTCACTCGCAAGACGCGATCTTTGTGCTCGCTTTGTCATTCCTTTCAGGCAACATTAGCGGTGCTTCCTCATCGCGCTTATCCGGAGACGATGCAGTTTCGAGTGTCAGCCTAACAGGCTTTGGCATCGTTCTGAGTCCCCGGGTTGAGCTTATCATGGTTGATTGGAGCCCAGACATTGGTCTTCCGACCGGCTGACTCGTTCAAAAGTTCGATGTTGGATGGGGCTAATAGTTGTCCTTTGTCATCGCTGCCTGCGCCTCC